ACTTATATAAAGTTCATAAAACACAAGATATTAAGTAAACTGAATAAAAATTTAACACATTTAAGAAATTAGTTTTCATAACAAGGAGTCAAGGACATATAGAGTAATAGTTTCTATTAATATTGTTATTACACATTACCTGATTTCAAATCTATATAATACATATTAAAAAAAAGGTTTATGTTTGGCGGAATATTTTTCTTCTTTCATAATGGACCGTGTTCCAAGAGAAAGCCATTTTTTATAGGCTTTTCATCAGAACAATTTTTGGGTGTATGGCAAATACAGTTCATTCCTATGAGATGGATCACACAACACTAGTGTTTTGTGAGCTGCATCAAAAGACGATTATATATCAATCGCTAACAAGTAACCGCTAACCAGCGGTAGAAACAATGGAGACTATGGAGTCATGAGACCAGACTACGACTCGACCGTTCCACAAATTCCTACTTTATCCTTATCCAATATGACACAAGTCACACAACCAATCTCATCCTCTAAGACAACGCAATTTACTAGTTTACCCTTGCCCCGGGCCGTTGAAAATTACAATGTTGGTCAAAATCACTATATATGACTCTGTTTTGATATATATGGGAATGGGACTCCCCTTTACATGCCAATAATGCAAATATTTTATAAATCTAGACTTACATGTCCTTTTTTTTTAAGTTTAAATTAAAATCTCGACATACATGTTTTGGATAGTAGAATTGCTAACATAGATTAACCCCTTTTTTGACGTGACTCGTGTTTTGGATAGGAATGTTAATAATGCATGCAATGCATTGTAACAGAACATGAAAATTAGTGATTAAGGTTCCAGAAGTAAAATTTGTCAAAAACAGAAGGGTTTTTCGAATTAGAACACGTACGTTAATTATTTTGATGATCTGAGATCTTTCCTCAAAACAAAATATGAGCAAACATATGTTATGAGACGTTGCATAAAACCAAATAACAAGAGAAAAGAGATTCAAGTACACACCTCCCAGAGACGTTGCATAACACCAAGCTTGAAGCAAACATATGAATCTTGTGTCGCTTGTAATATCTGTCCACGAGAAAGATTGCGAACACCCCAATTACTCCTACTAATCTCCTTATCCACCCTCACTCCTTCATACCCCAAATACTCCTCCACAATCTTCTCAACCGAACTATTCCATATGCTCCTAGCCAAATAATGCTTTACGTCAAGAAGTCTCCATATCTTCAACTTATGTCTACATCTCTCGAGCTTTATTTTGTCTCGGCTGTTCCAAACACCGACAAAAGTGATACTACGATCCACGAAGAAACTTCGTAGGACGTTAGGGATACGGTTACAGTGATTCAACTGTATGATGAGACAACAGTTACCGACACCTAAGTGGAGAATGTCCGGTGGAGGATCGGAAGTATAATCCGCTGTCCACTGGATACCGATTCCAACAACTAGAGGTTGTAATGAGCGGCGGTTGAAGAAACGGACGGTGTTGATCCATCGCCGGATTACTGAGTGATAAGTCCCAATATTAGAACTAACCAATTTGTTGATCAAAACAAGAACACACGTTACTTTAGACAATTTTCTCTTCATATTGATTTCACCATTGTAGCATCTTAAATACAAAACTAAAAGAAAGTAACTACTACAATATGAACTGTCTTGTTCACGTTCCCACTAGTTTAGGAAAAACACCAACTCCTCATCTCCACATTCTTTGACATATAACCGACATCGGTTTTCTCTCCGGTTAAGCCGATTGATTTTCATCACTGAGGCACTTCGAGTGACCGATACTTGCAAACGTTTTCCAAAGAAATCAACGTTGTATTTTGGATGAGTATGGCGATTTGGGATTCTTCTAATGATCCTTGGAGCCATTGATCAGATTCTAA